CCACGCTTACCACGAGGATTTCTTCTCTTTTTCTTCCTCTTATGTCACATCTGTTGTTATAATTACAGAAAAATCTTATTAACTCCACTTCTATTTTATAAAACTTTCGCTGGTTCCGTATTTCGAAACGTCTATACACTACGCCGGTGCTTTACCAATAGGCCACCAACACCTTACAAAAGGTATTTCATCAATCTTCCTCTTATGTTACAACTCGAGTCGTAATTCCAGAAAAAATATTGTTACTCCATTTTTGTTTTACAAAACTGTATTGGTTCCGAAAATCGTAACTTATGATCACTACTTCGGTGTTTTACCAATGAGCCGCCGATGCCGCGGAAAGTTTTACCTTTAATCTTCCTCTTTTGTTACATCTCGCTATATAATTTCATAAAAATCTCATTACAAAAATTCTTGTGGTTTCGAACCCCGCACCTTTCCTTTACAACGCCAGTGCCTTACATCTAGACCACCAGAACATCTATACTATAGCTTACTGCGATCCTCATCATATTTTACGACTTGGTTTATAGCTGCAGAAAAATCGTATTTTTTCATTCACTTTTCAATTTCTATTGACAAAAGACACCGTGGTGTCGAACCCGATACCTTCCCAATACTACGCGAATGTCTTACCCACGTACTCCCAGATCTAGGCAAATTTATTACCTTCGCCTTCCTCATATAGTACGACTTGCTTCTTACATGTACATATTTCTTAAATTGTCTTTCTACCGAAAATATTCATGTCTTCGAACCACGTATCTTCTAAACCATACGCAAGTGCCTTACCAAAGGACCGACACGGTTATGACGATTCGCCTTCGTCTTCCACATATCCTACAGCTGCGTTTCTACCTTTACAAGATTCCTCTTTACTACGAGGTACTTGCTTCGTTTAAAAGTCATTTTACAACTGACGGTTCCTTTAACGTCCGAAGTGCTCCGATCGGGCCAGTGATGAGTATGGTCCTCGTGGACAAAGTACCCCGTTTTGGCCAGTCGGGGATTTAAACTCCGCTAGTGGAAACGCGCACACGCCCCTAGTAGAAGCGCATGCACAGTCCTAAATATTTATTTTTATATGTAGTAATTACCAGNTCTATTCTATTCTATTCTAACTTGGCCTTCCTCGTATAGTACGACTTGCTTCCTACATGCACAATTTTCTTAAATATTTTTTCTCACCAAAATAGTCATGTCTTCGAACCACGTATCTCCTAAACCATACGCCAGTGCATTACTAAAGGACCGCCACGGTTATGACAACTATTCGCCTTCGTCTTCCACATATCCTACAGCTTCGTTTCTACCTTTACAAAATTCCTCTTTGCTACTTTCTTCGTTTCAAAGTAAACTTACGGCTGACGGTTGGCCTGTCATTTTCACTTAACCATTAACGTCCTAGGTGCCCTGATTGGAGCAGTCATGAGTATGGTCGTCGTGAACAAAGTACCCCGTTTTGGGCAGTCGGGGATTTAAACTCCGCTAGTGCAAACGCGCGTACACGCCGCTAGTCGAAGCACATGTACAGTCCTAAATATTTATTTTTGTATGTGGTAAAACCCTAATACAGGAATTAAAATGATACATGATACCTAATTGAACAACAAAAAGAAAAGTGTGTGTATATATATGACTTATGCCCAAACTCATCCACGAGCCAATACTTCTATTGCATATTCTTTTTTGTTGTTATCTGCTTGATGTATATATAGGCTGAAATGGAACTACAGTATTCGATTTCACTATGAACACACAGAAAACAGATCGCACTTTGTATCTCAGCCACGATGCAACTGTCTGTTCACGATCCTAGAGATGGCAAAATTCTCTTGCAGCTATAGCGGAAGGTCTTCACAATGAAGAAGAGACCCTTCTAGCTTACTTTTGAATAGCCAATCTGTCATTGTTCTATCCTATTTAAATTTTTTTTATTGCTATTGGGTTGTGATTAAATCCCTTGTCCTGCGGCCATTTCTGACCTATTGTACCAGCCCCAGAGGTGAGGATGATTTTGGAGTAGTTGATGAAATGAAGATTGGCAGGAGATAACAGAAGTACTCGAAGAAAACCTGCCCCTGCTCCACTTTGTCCACCACAAAACCCACTTAACCAGACCCGTGATCGAACCCGGGCCACCGCGGTGGGAAGCCAGCGACTAGCAGCCTGAGCTATGGCGCGGCCCATCTTCTTTCCTTTAGTCAAAAGATTCGAAAATCCGAAGAGTGTAAGCAGTGCAAGCAGAAGACCAATGATTTTATTCTTCCATCTGTTTTATGACACCAGGGACTGCTAAAATTTGGCAAATGTTACAAACATAAATTAATTTATAATGCAGAACATCTCTGTGAAAAGCTGTGTTGATTACAACACCCGCAGCCAAAAAGGGAACACACATCACGAGACACGATACACACGACATATAAGAGGAAGGACTCCCGTAGTGGAGGAACCATGCGCAGGTTTTGAATTGGGATAGATAACATGAATATCTTAACAAGATTTTAGTATACAAAAAAAAATTATTATACCTGACGAATACTTTAAAATACTTTTTAAATAATTTTACATTGACATAATGGCATGCACTGCAATAGATTAGTGTAAATGGAGCACCTGATGATGGCACTGTGGTGCCGAAACATGTTGTGAAGTGACAGGTAAAAGTGGATGCACTGCAAGACGGACACTGTATATATATCATGGATGAAAATCAGTGCAACAGGACGCTAAAATATAACATTATTCACCATTCTTACTGTCATTTCAAAGTTCAGTATCTACCTTACAACCACTTGTGTAGCAAGACTCACACCACGATTCACTTCCCCTCACCATCTGCTGATTACTACCGGCAATATTCCTTTCAATATTCCATATTAATGACTTGCAACCATGAATCACTAATTCTGTCTACACATTCATATTATATCTCTTAACTTTAGCTAAGAAACTTGTATGATACTGGAGGATAAATATAGAAGGATAACGTATTGGCCATTGCTAAGAATGGTCATCCACAAACAAAAAATCACACTCAAAGAAAAGACTCTTTTATTGCTTACAAACACTGTACAAACAAATTAATCCAGCACTTTATACATGTCACAATTCAATACAATACATTATTGCCATCAAACATTCAGACAGAATGCTTCTACACAAGCCTTCCAGACCTGAGATCAAGATCAATACATATCAATAACCTCACACACAACATGGCAACATTCCTGAAAACTAACCAGCCCTTCAACAGGGTGGCATGCTGAAAAGTAACACATCTTTTCTTGCACCAAACCCAACTATATGGCAGTGTAATCTCTGCTGTATTAATTCGATTACATTTTCCTCAACTTATGTTCATCTTCATACTACAGCTTCTACACATCCCTCAATTACAGCTGTAAAAATGTTGCAATATAGTCTGTCCAGTGATCTACATCCTCACTCTGCAAATCTTTCCATTCATCGACATTCACTGGCGATCATCACCACCACCATCTTCGCCATCATCCCCTCCACCTTGACTTCCACCACCTCCATCACCACACCCACCACTATCACCACCACACATCGCATGATGAAGTCAAGATGGTGGTAAAGATGTCCTTCCATCCACAATATGCAGACATCTGATTTAATGCACATTTCCAAATACCCCAGCACTCACAAAACTCTGTTGACTGCTGGTGATCATGTTCACAATTGTGTACAGTTGCACCAAACATTAAAAAATTATCGATTTTTGTCTCAATAAAATGTATATATATATTTTTTTTTTCCTTTTCAGCTTGCCCTCTTACATAAAATTTATACAACTTGCCACTCTTCAAATAAATTTAAGAGATCGACAGACATAAATACTTATACACTACTTCACTCAGGAGAGTTTTACAAACTGTGAAACAAATATGAACTATATGTATTCCAAAAAAAAAAATAAATAAATAAATAAAAAAATAAAAAAAAATAAATCAGCAGATCGTAACATTTATGGTATTGTATCACCCACCTACAGCATTAGCACATATTTATGCAACACAGTGAACACGACTTCCTATCTTATTATAGGACTGAAATCCATCACATTTTTCTGAACTGAAATACCACCAATATTAAGAATCCTTGCTCTGTACGAGTATATGCAAAATTCATACACTCAGCATACTGACACAATTCGTCCAATCATCTCCCGATGAATGACACATTTTCAAGTAGAATAAAGACGCAACAATACACCATCATAAATAAATATACATATCTTGATGGAAAATACTGATAGCTCTTGTCCTCAGAAACTGCATTCACACCATTACAATAAATATTTCATGATAATATCAATATTAACAGAAACTGGTAACACACAATCCATATGCTCTGCCACTGAGGCAGCAAGTAGAACAGAAATTCATGCAATTATAGCAGTAGTCGATCCTATACGTAAATATGCGGGACATTCTTTTCATAACTTCATAACTGACAAATTGACAATGATTATGAGAATGTCTCATTATGTCATTTGGTAACGAACATATTTCTGTCTACAGGTATGTTGAAATATTTTCGAAACAGCAATAACAAAATTAGAATCCACGTAAAAGTACATAGCACTTTCAAGACCTCTATCAAACAATGATAGCCAGCCACACACGATAAAGTTCTTATATATCCATTAACTTCTGGTTATCAAAATAAGCAATACAATCTCAGGTACAAGTTTTGGCATTACACTTATTACAATATCAACACAGACAACCATAAAAGTAAGTAAAAAAAAGTAAAGCTATCCCTGTAACAGGCCGTGAAAGCCCATAGGGTTGTGAGACGTTGAGGGTCCCACATTATCTAGACAATCCACTCAAAGATGGCAGTAAGGTTGCCAGCCTTATGCGTTGACCGTGCTTAACTCCCCAGGAAAATTATTTAATTCCTGGTACTCATTTCTGTTAGAGGCTGAGTGAACCCCAGGGCCATAGTGCGGCCGGAAGGATTAGGCCAACTGAAAAAAATCCAGTGACCTCATCGGTATTTGAACCCATGACCTTCTGACTTGTAGCATAATGCCTTAATCACTACCCTACAGCGTGCTAATGTGCATGGTGAGGTATAGTGCAGAGTGAACCTCATACAAACCAATAGGCTAAATAATTCATAAAGCTCATGGCAGTAAGTATACCCACTTTCTGTTCTACGGACGTATATGTACTTTCCTCGACATGTTAGCTCAGGTTAGTTTTGTTAGCTTTGATTATGTTAGATTAGGGCAGGTTACATTAAGTTAGACTACATTCTGTTATAATTTGTATTTTGCCTCAAACTGTTCAAAAACTTGGTCCACACATGGTTAATGGCATATACTTCTACCATGAATATTGACATACTGTACTAGGCTGAAATCATTTTCTTCCTTTGCCATCTAAATGAATACCCCCCCCTCCAGTACCCATTTTTCTTTTGGATAAAATAAATCTAAATTTCTTACATATAATTCAAACACAGGTCATTCATTTACACCAACTGACACTTCAAGCATCATAATAATGATACCTGAAGAGATATTGATCTATATTTATCAGACATACATTTCTAAGGCTAGTTGCAAGACTGGTATCTTGTGGCGGAGAACGATGCAGTAGTTTACCCATCCCACCATCTGTAGCGCTGACAGATGAACCTCTTACTCAACTGCTGCACTTCTTCCAGTGCGGAAATCCTCATCCAGGCTTCCCGTGACATATGACTGTCAACAGGGAAGCATGTTTCTGTGATTGGTGATTGTTACAATGGCATACAGATGCAGGTCTGCATACAGTGAATCCCCTATTTAAGGTCTCTTTGCCAAGAAGTGGATTCTTGCATGCATGTAATTTGACAATGAGGTTACTGACACATCACCAAAACCGAAAATTACCTGAGGTTAATCTCGCATCAAAGAGCACTGATGAGGGTTTCACTGTATTTCAGTTCCGTGCACACTGTTCCCTCTCAGGTCTTGGATCATCTCTTTATAATCCTGCTGAAAACAGTCATGTTCCGCCTTAAGTTTCTATTAACTCTGCAAGATCTTGCTGTGCATATGTCCAATGAACATGGAAGACCACCCATCACTTCAGCCCCTCATGGATGTGAAGAGACAGCTCATTTTCAAACAAGACACTGCTGCACCACCATCTCGCCACAGTCTACAACAAACAGTAAAATTACTTGGTAAAAGCTAATATATGTTAATATTATACAGTTTCACTGTTATATTTAAGTTATTATCAATCTCCACACAGCATAATACTCATTTGCACAGTTACTCATGTAGGTCAGGATCTGGGTTTGAAACCCTGACATTTTTAAATGTTTCAATGAATACGCTGCTATAAATTTATCACCCGATAACCCATCAGCATCTTGATGTTCCTTCCAGACCCAAAGAAATGACACACACCAGTCCTGTGAACACACAAAGTAACAGTTCAATAAAGGTCACCAATTTTACCTTCACTGTGGACCAGAATACTGACACATACATTAGAATTGTGAATGCACATGGCAAAACATTACCATCCCATTAAGATCGTTCATCTCTCAGCAAAATATGTTTCGTACAACACCGTAGAAAAGACATGAATAATACTGACCAAAATTATAAACCACAAATAATGGATGATGAACAGCCTGAACTTTAACTTGCAGCTGTTGCATTTGCTAGCGCCACTGTGTGATCATGTGATGCAAAGTCATTAGGGGCCACACACTTTAGGGGTGAATCCTTCACCATATGTTAGATTCACAATTCTACACTAAGAACACAGATTCATTTTATCACTTTGTGTGTCACTAGTAACACAAACTCTCATACCTCTTCCCAGACAATTTGCAAGCTCACAATGAAGTCTTCTGGGTTGTGACACTGTCTACTCATGTAGGTAGATACTTAGCTTTTGGAGGAACATGGTCATCTCCACAGGTGTGGTACAATTCTGAGCATTTGTCTGCATGCATGAATTGCTTTCTGCTGCAAGACTTGCACAAAGCCATCGCCTCCTTCCACAGTTTCTCCCCTTTACACATCACACTGGCCACTGTCCTCTTTCCTTCATGTCACTGAACTGATGCTCCCATTTAACCTTTCTTCACATGGGCCACTGGACAATCTGCCTTGCTCATGTTGCCTGTTAAGAATAAGAGGTCACACCAATCATAATGACAACTTAAATTACTTCTTCTATGTAAACTACATATATCAATGTACTCCAATATGCATTACCTGATTCGAAATCTCCAAATTTATACTTCCAACAATGTGTTGACCTGTCTGGGAAAAATGAAGTCTCATCAACACTGATGTTCCCTGTAACAATAAAAGGTCACACCAATAATAATGACAACTTACAATGACTTCAACTACATACAACATTGTGCATTACACCATGCAAAATCTCTAAATTCATGCTTCGAACACTGTGTTGACGTGACTGGGAGAAATGAAAGCTTATCAACACTGATGCTCCCTGTAAGAATAAAAGGTCACACCAATCATGACAACAACTTACAATGATTTGAACTGCATGCAACAATGTACACTACCTGATGTGATATCTCTGAATTCATGCTACCAACAATGTGTTAACCCGAGTGGGAGAAATGAAGTCTCATCAACACTGATGTTCCCTGTAACAATAAAAGGTCAAATCAATCATAATGACAGCTTACAATTGCTTGTTCTACATACAACATTGTGCATTACCTGATGCAAATCTCTGATATCATGCTTCCACCACTGTGTTAACCTGAATTAAGGGTCATCAACACTGATGCTACCTGTAAGAAAGAGAGGTCCCACCAATCATAATGTCAGCTCACACTGTCTTGTTCTACATACAACATTGTACATTACCTGACATGAAATCACTGGATTTATTTTTTGAGGATTGTAATACCCTGAGTGGGAGAATTGTAGGTTCATCAACACTGGTGTTGCCTCTAAAGAAAAAGATCATGCCAACATTAATAACGCCTTATAAAGGACATATGTAATTGACCACTGTACACTCCCTGATATGAAATCTCTAATTTCTTGGTTTCAACATAGGAATATACTGACTACCTGCAATTCAGTTATGAACTAATCTTTTCATGCAAATAAGTTGTACCTATATTCCTGAAAGCTTAGTGATTTTTTCAACTGACCACACTGTACACTACCAGAATCAAAAATTTTGGAATGCTTTTCTTCATATATATTTTATCCTGTGTGACAGCAATGAAGACTCATTAACACAGTTGTTCCCTGTAAAATAAGTTGTATCAGCTTTATGACAGCTCATAAGGAAGGTTGCCTTATCTGACCTCGCTGTACCCTTCCTGATATTAAAACTGTGATTTCAGGTTTCCAAACTACTATTAAACTGAGTGCTACCCATTAAGTCTCATAAACACCATTGTCACCTGCAAATAATGAGTGATAAGAACATTAATGACAATTCATAAAGCTGACTTATTCAGATCACCACACTGTACAGTATGTGATGTGAAATCTGTGACTTATGTTTCCATCATTGCATTAACCTGAAAAGCAGCAATTAAGACTCAACATAGTTGTTTCCTGTAAAATAAGGCATGTTATCATCATTAATGACAGCTCATAAAGATGGATTCCTTCAGTTGACACAAATGTACAGTACCTGATGTGGTATCTCTGAAATCATGTTTCCCATAGGGTTTTAACCAGATTTGTTGCAATGTTTGCTCATCAACAATGTTCTTGCCTGAAGAATAAGAGGTCATACCAACATTAATCCTAACTTAAAAGGGACTTGTTCAACTTACCACATTGTATACTATCTGAAGTGACATCTGTGAAATCATGTTTCCATCCTAGAACTACTCTGACCAGAAGAATTCAGAGCTCATTAGCAGTTTTCCATCGCAAGTAGTGGTACTGACATTAATGAGAGCTCACAGAAAATGATGTCTTCAGTACATCCCAATTTACACTACATAAGCTGAAGTCTCTGAATTTCTGCTTTATCATAGTCTTAGCCTGACTGGGAGCAGTGACAGCTCAACAACATGGATGTTTGCTGTTGAATAAGAGGTAGTGAGGAAGTAAAGCTGCCCCTTGTGCTCAAAATAAACACTACGCCATGAAACTGTATGAAGGAGTGGATATATGCATTACAATGCAGTTGGTATTGTGACTGGCTATAGGCTGGATGACCGAGTGGTTGGGAGTTTGAGTCCTGATAAGGTCAAGAATTTTCTCCTCTCCATGTCACCCACACTGGCTCTGAGGGCCACCCAGCCTCCTATTCAATGGGTACCGGGAGGTCTTTCCCTGGTGGTAAAGTGGCATGGGCATGAAATTGAGCACTCATCTTCAGCTGGTGATGAGGCCAAGGAAATATGGATCTAGAATACTATCATTAATGACGGCTCACAGAGAATGCTTAGTTCAAGTGACCAATTTGTACACTACCTGATAAGAAACTTCAGAATACATGTTTCCAACATATCATCATGATTTAGGAGTGTGACTATACAAGGGGTATGGACTGGCTGAATTGGATTTATTGACCACTTCTATACACCATACAATTTGCATTTGACTGACACACACACACACACACACACAAAGACTACTGTCCTCAGTCTATTACAATATCCACTAGCCGTTTCCTGGCAACAGATTTAACACAGAGGAGATTTTCAGTTTCTGTGGCCCGGTGGTTAACACTCCACACCTGAACTCATGGCGCCTCATCTCATCCTCACTTGGAGAGCCCAACTCTCGATTAATTGCTCACTTGGACTCCAGAACTCAACTGCTCATTCTCAACTAACTCTTCTTTATTAACTACTTGGCACGGACTGAATGTAAAACATCTTCTTCAATAATACCCCTACTGTGGGCGTGTTTACCGATTCGGTGCTTTGAAATGGATTTCATGACACCGTTTTCCTATTGTTGCGTGCAGGTTATGTTGCGGTCGTTACCTAACATTACCTTTGATTTCTATCAATTTCGGTAGGGTACGTGTTTTCACAAAACTATTATAAATGAAATTTCGCAATTACATTTGGTAAAGGTTTTTAATTTCCGATCTTTCAGTGCACAAGTGTCAGCATCAAAGAATAGTAAGATTCATGCCTATTTATTTCGCTTTGCTTTGGAATTAGCCTTTACGAAGTTCAAGGAAAAATAGGAGAAGATTCAAATCGAATGGGGCACAAGAGTTTCTAGTCTACGCTGATTATATTAATCTACTAGAGGAACAAATATCTTTATAAAAGACCAAGAGCCCTATTAGACGCTAGCAACAATGTTTTTATGTAAGAAAATAAAAAAGAAACTAAGTATATGCTTACTGTCTTCACTCGCTCGGAAGCCGGGATCGTAGGTTCGAATCCCACTCAGGGCATGGATGTTTGTGTGCGTTTTTCTGTGTTTGTCTACAGGTAGAGGCCTTGCGACGAGCTGATCACTCGCCCAAGGAGTCCTACCGAATGTGTAAGATCTAGTAAACCGAAGTGAAACGGAGAAGTTCATGGAGGTAGGCCTAGGCCCAAATTGGGGCCGTAGCGCCACAGGGAAAAAAAGTACATGCTTATACTATACTATACTATACGTACATTGAGAGAAAAAAACATATATGCTAATTAATCCTGTGATATTTTTAAGTTTGCTATTTAACGACGCTGTCAGTATCAACAGTATACAGCGTCGATAATAGGAGGATTAACGAACTTGGAACAGTTGGTAAAATGAGAATCAGCACTGGAATCCGAAGTACTCTTGAGATAAGACGCTCGGCTCTCGCTTCTCCACCATGAATCCACACGATCTGACCTGCGATGGGAAGATAATGAGGCGGAGTTCAAACGTTTGTGGAAGGCACTAACAAATCCAAACTGTATTCATGACGACGTCAAGGGAAGGTATAAAGGTAAAAGTTGTCCCTGTGCTCAGCAAATTCAAGCTCTGTGCCATGAAGGTGTATGGGGGAGTGGATGTATAGATCCACATTTTCTTGATCTCGGCACTAGCTAGAGGTTGAGTGGTCAGCTTCAAGCCCCGACCTCTTCACCCCCGGGAAAGACAACGTTAAGGTAAATTAAAAAAAGTAAAGTTGTCCCTGTGCTCAACAAATTTAAGCACTACGCCATGAAGGCGTATGGGGGAGTGGATGTATAGATCCACATTTTCTTGATCTCGGCACTAGCTGGAGGTAAGTGGTCAGCTTCATGCCCCTGCCGGTTTAACCCCGAGGGAAACGCCCCCGGTACCCATTGGATAGGAGGCTGGGTGGACACCAGTGCCGGTCTGGACGATTTAAAGAGAAGAGAAAATTCCTGACCCTACCGGGTCTCGAACTCCAACCCCTCGGTCGTCCAGCCCATAGTCACTCCCTATACAGACTACGCTACCCCGCGGGAAATATCTCTTACCAATTAGTTCAGAATGTTTCATTTCTTCATTGCTACTTAAGCTGTAAAACATAAAGAACTGCAATTTTGTGCGTAGCCCAATAAGAATGTGAAACCTGGTCTTTCAGGTTACGGGAAGAGCATAAATGAGAGCATTTGAGAACAGCGTCTGAGGCGAATGTATGGACCAACTCCGACCCCTCGGTCGTCCAGCCCGCAGCCAGTCGCTATCCCGGCTCTGTGGGAGCTAGTAGTGCATACAAAATTTCGATAGGAAAACCAAAGGAAAGAGACCACTAGGAAGAGTTGGGTTTATATGGAATGATAATATTAAAATCTGTATTGAGTAAATGAGATGAAAAGTTACGGATATGATACACCTGGCTCCAGATTGGGACCACTGGAGGGGGTAATGAACCGTGTGGTTCTGAAATATGCTGGAGTTTGTGTACCTGAGCGCAACTATTGGCCTAACACGGAAGATTCAGCTCCACGGCTTCAATTTATGAGCCCGTTTCTTTCAATTTGAAACTGAGGAAAAATATTAGTGGATATATGTCACCCCATAGATGATGCAATGTTCGTTTGAAGGTGTGTGTAGTCCTATATATATGTATTCAATTTTATAAATATAGCTCCTATCTTAGAATGCAGTGTTTGATTGGGTGGAGTGTGGGTGCATATAAACTTATTATAATATTGCATCTATAGATAATTCAATGTCCCTTTAATTATCTTTAGATACAGGTATATACATATATTTATTTATTATAATATATCACCTTAGTAGGCGAAGCAATTTCCTTTCACTCTGATTCTGGGTGCATACATTTTCATAACATACATAAATACTGCACCTATAGATAACACAGAGTCCCCTTAGAGGAGTGTTGTGCGTGCATATATAATTATTATAGTACATAGGAGTATATCGCTTTTCTTGTAGTGGCAGTGTTTCTTTGCAGGAGTGTGTGTAAATTTATTATACGTATTTTGTATACCGCCTCTATAGACAAACCATTGTCTCCTCTTGGGCTGGAGCCACGCGAGCGCACAAAATGCGTCCGCTGTATCGAACGTCTTGACGTCCGTTGTAGAAATAAACAAGAGAGGCCAATGCTACGCTTTCTTCTGGCTCCGTTGATTCCCGATGAGGTCATTGGATTTCTCAATTCACCTAATCCTTCCAGCTTAGGCCGCGCCATAGCTCAAGCGGTTAGTCGCTGGCTTCCCACCGCGGCGGCCCGGGTTCGATCCCGGGTCTGGTCAAGTGGGATGTGGTGAACAAAGTGGCGCTGGAGCAGGGTTTCTCCTAGTACTTCGGTTTCCCCTGCCAGTCTTCATTCCACCAATTGCTCCACAATCAGCCTCATCTATTATCTGGGGCTGGTACAATAGACTAGAATTGGCCGCAGTGCAAGGAACTTAGTCCTACCCCAGCCGCACTATGGCCCTGAGGTGGACTCAGCCTCTACCAGAAATAAGTGTACCAGGAATCTTGCTGGGGGGTGAAAAGCGACCAGTGAGTAAGGCTGACATCCTTACCGCCACCTGTGAACCAATTTTCTATAAAATGTGGGAGCCTTGACGTCTCATACTCCTATGGGTCTTCACAGACTGTTACAGGGATAGTTTTACGTTTTATCGGTATATCACATGTGTTGTTGCATTTTGTGTCTAAGGGGAGTGTATTTATTGTAATACATGCAAAAACATGTATCGTAAGACACAATGTGTCGTCTCTGGACGGTATTTATTTATCAAAACTGTATATATTTGTCTCTTGTGTAATCAGCCTGTGTGGTTTCATCCAGTTTATGGAACTCTTAAATGAATTTTTATATGGATATCTTTTGAGTAAATTTCTCGTTTATTATCGTAGTACTTCTTAAAATTTCACCTCCATTTCTGAATTTATTTCTTGAAAGATATATTTTTGTGTTTGCGATTTTAATATATAGGTTACAATTATCTTCATGGCAAGTAGTGTACGTTTCACAATCTTGCAATAGGAAATTAAGTTGTCTAATCCCGACAAGTCAATTAGTTTACACTTTACTGCTGAAACTTGTTAGATGTCCTTATTGTGTGTGTTCTCCTAATTTTCATTACCATCCATCATACTTTCTGGTGTCCTATTCAATGCTTCGTGAAGTGAGCGATTGAGATAAACGCCTCTCTCCTCCATAATCTCCTCCTCTTACTCTTTTACATCCACACTTTCCTACTGATGGATGCTGGAAGAAGAAGCAACCTAACCTAATTTACGCTTGAATTAAATTAAAATTCTTCACTGAATCCTATTATTCGGTAATGAGCCTAATTTTCCAAGTCAGTACTTGGCAGAATGAATATAATACCTGTCATTCCAGTATAAATTAACGGATCCTCCTTGGTCTCGAGTTTTGTTCGGGAATTTGGGCGGGATATCAACATCTACTGCTCATAAAGAGATTCCTATTCATGAACACGCAGTAACGGAACCTTTCTCGAAATTAAGTCCTTATACATTCTTAATACTTTCAAGATTTTATAATAATTTTGCGATAAAATATATCATTATCCTTCGAATATGTTTAATTTGACGCAAAGCAAGGCGATCTTATTGGGGACATCTCTCATAAAGTACAGATTCATTGGTAACTTTCCTCCATTC